CAATAGGATAGCAACAACAAGTAGTCAGTTTAGCTTCGGTTGCTATGCTAACATCACCCATGTTATACCAGAGAAACTTTAATAACAGCGTTGTGATGCCAAACAGCGTCAATTCATACGGAAACACATTCACTTATGGGGAATTGGGGATATGTATCAGCTGCTTGTGTGACAGTCAGACAGTGAATACTTTACAGCGGCCGCTGCCGTGTGAGCTAACCCGGAGCTAACGGGAGAATAAACTCCAGTCGTTATTTAATTTAATCTGGCTTCGTATGATTAAAAGCAACACGATCATCGACCCGACGCAGTCCCCCATTGTTGTTGTTGTTGTAGTGAGCTCCATAAACACCGTTGGGGAGAAAATCAGCGACATAAACGGTGACGTCATGACGCAGCAGCGTCAGCACCAGTCGGGCTCTTGGCGGTGTGAACAAAACGGGGGCTGAAAAGAAAAACCGGTTCCGAACCAGAAAAGCTCTAGCACGGAGCTAGAACGGGAATCACGTTGGTGTGAAAGCCCTTTTAGAGATATCCCGCCCCTTAGCCTATCACGTACAATGTGTTGGAGTGCTAGCCAATAGTAGCGTGCATGTTACATAGTGATGTTATTATGTCACGGAAAAATACAAAGGAGTCCAATGGAGACGTTTCAGGCCGGGGGGGCGTGCCGTGCGTGGGAGAGAGTCCCTTTGGGATTTTAGCCTTTGCAGACCATTTACATGCACAAAAACCTACAACACACTACAGGAAAGGAAAAACCCCAACAAGCATAAAAGGGCCCCTGACTTTTACTCTAGCTCCTCCATGAGGTTGACATTTGTTGTTTCATATGAAACGTCTCAAAAATATAGATTAATTGCCATAACATATGGTTCAGATATTTATGTCCACCTCAGGACACATTTTTAAGACAATGGTGAATTTTTAAATTTTTCTTTATATAACCATTGTCAGTGTTACTTTGTCTGATATTTGTTTCATGGCCAAACATATCTAAAATGATATTCTCATCAGGCAGTTTAATATCTTAACTATTAGCATCAATAACTGTTCGTCACTACAATAACATAAGATGGTTACTTTATACCTGATAAAATCAGCATGTTAGCAATGACATTGTCACATACGTGGTGCTTCAGTACAGCCACACAGAAACACTAACATGGCTGTAGATTCTTACCACAGACACATTGTGAGCGATTTTTGGATTCTGTATTTTTGCTCAAGGGCATTTAGACACATGGACAGGATGAGGAGCCACCAATGACCCTGCATCAATAGCCCACCCCTTCTTACACACCCCTGGGAATGTAGTGTTTTTTCCATATTGCATAGAAAGATGACCTTAAAAAGAATGAAAAATTGCATCCTTACTGGTTTGGGAATAGCAACAACTTAGAATAGTCATTTTGGCACAATACAATCAAACATATAACGAGTCTTTGACAGCATGCCAGAAGCAACTGGTAAAAAAACAACATGTACAATCTTGGTGGCTTTGTGGAACAATGCAGGAGCTCCCGTCTTGACTCCCAACATAACAAGTAGGCATTTTCATTTCTGATTCTGTTTTGTCACTACACAGAGAAAGAACACTGCCTCCACGGTTCTCCATATATTGGAGAATGTTGTCATGTTTGCATCATCTCTTCCCCAGCAGACTCTATCTCATCTGTACTGTTAACTCTTTTTTAAATGTGTATTTTGTGTAACATTAAATCATTAAAAAATTCTCTGTGGCATATTCCTATATGCCATCATCCTTTTCAGATAACGTGTCATCGTTGCTACAAAATGAAAGTGTTCATTTGGCCCAGGTGACATTATAATCCTTCGTGGGCTAATCTCTGCCCTTGCAGATGCAGCTTATAAAGTGACACCAGAAGGTTGTATTTTAAAATCCCTGTCATTTCCCTGGTTGGTGAAACTTCTCTGTGAATAGCCAAAATCTTTGTCACTTGTCATTTTCCATTCATTTCTTGGTTGATGAATATTAACTCCAGATGGTTATACTCCTTTGAAGCCAAGATGCCATGTTTTAATTAACGGAATGAGCAAAGATTTGACATTTTTTAACAGAAGTAAACACACTTCAACTCTCTACCCAATTGATTCTCACATCATGTCTGAATATAAATATCTACTGTGGCAGGTATGGCTACAGTGTGGTGTTTTATTTCTGACAGATTATCATAATAAGCCTTTAATAGTCAGAAAAAGGCAGAAGAACCCATTAGGCTTAATCCAACATCAGTCTGAGAGCTCTGGCACAAAACCACAAGAGTCTGTATTTATCTTTGTCCATAAACTTAAAAAGGCAGCTCTTTTCAAAATGCATAAAGCAGCATCTTAACAGCACCCGGCACCACACCCTGCGCACACCAATCTGAAATCTTCTATGCAGTCAGTGTGGATAAAAAGCCCTAAAGCACACAACGTGACATCCTCCGGAGCAGAGGGTATAAACAAAAGTGTTGAACTCACGGTGTCCTACACTAACAGTTTGATGGATGCCAGCTGTGACCTCATGAGTGGAGAAGCCAAAAGAAAGAGAGGGTTGAAGAATTGGCGAGTAAAAGGCGCAGCAGGCTCAAATGAATAATAAAATATGAACATGGGAAGGATCTTTGTTTGATCCTGTACTGCAGGCTGGAGCTGTCATGTTGTAATGAAGCTAACAAACGGTGCTGACAACTTCCTGTGTGTAGCCAAAGAGTTTGGTAGACGGATTGAAATGTCTCTACAAAGTCTGGCTAACAGTTCCTGTTGCAGTCTTTGAACTCATTTACAGAAGCGCGATGGGTTGCTGTACAATCATCCTAGATTTTATAAAGAAAAACACATGTGGACTTATTCACTGTGCACAATAACTCATATTCTTATACACAACGTCCAGGGATGCTTGATCTGTTTGGTTGGCCTTCAAGATGAAAGAATATCGGCTTTGAGGTGTTTCATAATATCAGTTTCACTACATGTTTATCATAGCCTAAATGATTCACAACAATATTATCGGGATATTAATAGAAATTACATTAATGATAATAATGCTGTTAAAAGGCCACTAAATGAGCTGTTTTCACTTCCACTTTAATGCTTCAAAACACCAGAAAGTCCATATCAATCGTGATGAAAGGTTTGCTGTCTGGTACGTTTTCAATTTGTCAGGTTTCAGCACCAAAACTATGTGTAATGTATAGGGATGTCCCGATCACCTTTTTTTGCTCCCGATCCGATTCCGATCATTTGATTTTGACAATCTGCCGATACCGATTTTTCCCGATCCGATCTTTACCATGCTGAAAAAACCAGCTTAGACCAACAAGGCTGGTCTGGCTGGTCAGGCTGGTAAACCAGCCTGACCAGCCAGTCAATATTAGGCTGGATTAGTTTGCTGGTTGAGAGGGGTTTTGGACACTTTAGCTGGTCAGGATAGCAGGTTTGGTCACAGTGGTCTAGCTGGTCACCATTAGCTGGTCGGGATAGCTGGTTTAGCTGGTAAAAGCTGGTGGTCACAGTGGTCTAGCTGGTCAGGATAGCTGGTTTGGTCACAGTGGTCTAGCTGGTCACCATTAGCTGGTCGGGATAGCTGGTCTAGCTGGTAAAAGCTGGTGGTCACAGTGGTCTAGTAGCTGGTCACCATTAGCTGGTCGGGATAGCTGGTTTAGCTGGTAAAATCTGGTGGTCACAGTGGTCTAGCTGGTCACCATTAGCTGGTCCGACTGGTATGATCTTGAGTAGAACTTTAACTGGGATTACTTGATGGTTAAGCTGGTCATATATGATGATGAAACACTCTCACCCAATTGCAGTAGCTCAATGAACATCTATCATTTCAGATCAGAGCACCTACCTTACCAGAAAGGTACCAGAATGTATAGAATGTCTGTAAATAAATACTCATACATCAAATGATTAGAAGCAGGAAAATAATTTATAACACACAATGAACATTAACACACATTTGAAAACACCCATTACTTCATATTTTTAAGCAACTTAAAACTGTTTCTTTCCGTTTTTCACAAGGTCCTGTATTTTTTGTGAAATGTAGTAACCGGCCAACTTCTCCTTCTCGGTCTTCTCCACGTTTTGTGAATTCAGCCATCCTCTGAAGCACTCTTGAAAAGAGAAAGGAAAAACAGATTACATTTTAGCTTTGTGTTATGATTACTTAAATATGTGCACTGTGAGATGAAAAAGACAAATGTATCAAGTTTAGTTTTGAACATTCACTGTGATTGGGTCTATTGTCCACGCAATACACCGTATTTAATTTTTTATTTAATATTCTGTTCTTGTAAATATCATATTCTATTATATTACATGTATATAAACTTTTTGCACTACTTTTTATTTTGTATTTTTGTATTTTATTGTATATGTTGCATTGTTGGAGGAGCTCAGGTCAGAAGAATTGCATTGACATTTCTACACTGTAGCTGCTGAGCATATGAGAATAAAAGCTTTGAATCTTGAATCCAACACTTTTTTCAGTGGAAAATCCTGAATTGTAGGATACTTTGGCCATAATAATGCTTTATGATTACATTTCTAGTGAGAAGTGTATATTTTACTTTCAGAATCTTCCTCCAGTGGATGTGTAGCATCTACAGTATGATAGATATATTACTTTACACCCGGAAGTATGTATTGTCATTCTTATTGTCGATAAATTGAGGGATATATACTATATTTTATTAACACCACTTTATACATCCACCTCGAGTGTTTGTCTCTGCACCGGAAATAATTTTATTTTAAAGTTCAACCACATATTATATAAACTATATCAGTGCCACACCTGCGTAACACATGGTGCCTCTTGTCTGAACAATTTTTTAAGCGATTTGTAATCTATTCTTGTCGACTTGCAGCCTAAATACAAAGATAACTCCACTCTCCTACCACTGCTTACCTCTAATGAGCCTTGGTAGAACTAGTGTCCGAGTCATGGGGTCCAGAACTGACTGAAGACATGTGGAACAGAGTCATAGGGTCCAGAACTGACTGAAGACATGTGGAACAGAGTCATAGGGTCCAGAACGGACTGAAGACATGTGGAACAGAGGACAGGCATGGTTCGATGTACAGGGAACTTTTTGAACCTTTCTGCAGCGATGAATAAAGAAAACAAAGAAGACATTTTTAATAATAGTAATGATGGTAACAACAATTATATTAGTATAACTATTTATATAGCACTTACACAATTCTGTGATTCTCACAACAAAAATAAAGAACAAAACAATATCAACAATAAAAAAACAAATGATTATAGGAATGTTAAGAGACAAAGAAATGATAAACATTCTGAGAGGCCGACTACAAAAGCTAGACTCAATGGCTCTTGATGACATCAATGAGCAGTCCCAATAGATGCTGTGGTATAAAAAGAAATAGAATAGGTCCAGATTTCTTCTATTTTGTGTTGGATGATTTGTTTTATTGATTGCTGATGGATGTATATATATAGGGTTTATTCAACAGCAGTAAAGCATTAAGTTGCTAAATTAACGTACACTGAACTGTTAAACAACTTACCACTATTTAGGAAAGGCTCTGATCAGGAGGGTTGACTAGTAGGACAGCAAAGAGGTGGTGTCACGTAAAACCATTGGTAGATGTTACACCTGAAAGAAAGATAAGGAAATAAGAGAAGACAGGAGGACAAACATCCTCTTAAGTAAAAGACCAAATCAAGTCAAGCTTTAACCTGAGCCTGTTTTTTCAGTCTTTACAATGCACTGTTGGAAAATACCTTCCAAAGGCTACATTCAAACTCAATACCATAAATAACTGGGTACCAAAGTGCTTTACCTGATAGAACACGTTCCACACGGAGCAGCAACCATCCGGCTCGGCCTTTTGCTGCATATCATCTCCTCCCTCTCCACTGTTTCCAGTAGATCTCTACTATCCAATAAAACTGAAATTCCCCAAAAAATCATATTAAAAAAAGTTAAAAACAATAACTTGCTTTTGGCATTGAAATAGATTAGATTAGATTAGAATCTCACCTTTTTCCTGGATGTCAGGAAGGCGTTCCCTTCAAGTCCGCAACCAGTCATAGGGGTTCAAATGCAAAGCCTGAACGATGACAAGAGCGAGATTTACATTTTACAATTATATTTTTAATTCATACCAGAGCAGTGTGTACGACATGCAAAGAACAGATCAAATCCCCTGACAGACTCACACACTTTGGTGATGTCCTTATCTGATAATGTTTCATTTTTTAGCAGCAAAGTAACATTACTCAAAGTATATGTATGTTTTGCATCTCCTCAACAATGGTCTGTATCATTGAGTAGAAAAAAACTGTCCCCACAATTTCAGCTAGATTAACACACATTTGTAAGAAAAGTTTACAATGAAGCACAAAAACCCTCTTTGTATTAAGCTAGCTGCCACAGAAAGTACAGCTTAACATGCTAACCTTTGGTGGAGAGCTACAGTTAGCTAACTTCATGTTCAACACAACACCTCTAATGGCATTACATTGACGATTTTAAACAAAACGTAACTCTCAACTTGTAAGATAACGTTAAGTTAACTTACAACTTATAGCTGCATCACGTTTTTCAGGGGAAACACAAACTGCAGAAAACGTTAGCTGCTAACTGTTGTTAGCTAAGACAGCTAGCCTCCTAGCAAACGTAAGGTTAAGTTAACATTAACGTAACGTTGTAAGAAAGCAAAACGAACCTTCGAGAAAGCTTTTACTCTCAGACTTGGTGAAATTGTGTAGTGTTGCTTACCTCCAGAAGGACTTTTAGCACGTTTCCCAGTAGACAGAGCTGTCAGAGCGGTGCCTCTCAGAAGAGCAGCTGCTGGGCGGAGTCACAGAAACGTTCAACTGATCTTCACTCCTCGACCGTTTGTGCCAGTCAAAACATACCGCTTTGTTTCAACCACTGCCGTCTCGCCGTTCCCCCGTGTCCCGCCCTCTCTGTCTGTCTGTGTCTATTTCAGTTTCGCTAGCAAGACTGCTGATAGACCAGCTAAAACCAGCATAGACCAGCATGACATCCATGCTGGGCTATGCTGGTTTAGCTGACCAGGCTGGTCTTGAACCAGCAAGAACAGCCTGGCCAGCTTGTCCAGCCTGGTAAACCAACTAAACCAGCCTAACACCAGCCTAACACCAGCCTAACACCAGCCTAACACCAGCCTAACACCAGCTAACACCAGCTAACACCAGCTAACACCAGCTAACACCAGCTAACACCAGCTAACACCAGCAACCATCTTAAGCTGGTCTATGCTGGTTTTTTCAGCAGGGTATGCAATGCATTAAGAGAAAAAAAAGGAGAAAAGCATTCAAGTTGTCCCTTAAACCCCACGTTCTCCACCACAGATAACGGCTGGTCATCCACACTGAAAGTGTTGGTTGTTTCAGTGTCGTTACCTGAATGGCCGCTGTGTACTCGTTGTGTTGTTGTTGGTGTTTGTTTCTCAGGTGGCGTATTAGATTGGTCGTGTTGAACGTAGCTCTGTTCTTTCCACCACGCGGAACCTCCGCCTTGCAAACATTGCATCTGGCTGTTACACTGCCTTCGCTTTCAATTTTATAATACTTCCAAACTCCTGACATTTTCTCTGTCCCGAGTCACCAGCTGAACGTAGCCTCTCGTTAGCTTACTGCTACTATTAGACACTGCGCCCACTCTGTTGCCAGATTTGAGAGAAATAAGCAACCAGAGGCCTGTACTACGAAGCTGGATTTTCGCTTAGCCGGCTAAATTCAGGGAAATCTCGGGCTTTCCGGTCCTACGACGCTGGTTCTCTTTTTAGCAGGCTAGATTTCCATGGTAACTTATGCTGAGCGGCAAACCTGCTCCGGAGCAGGTTAGGTGGCAGGCTAAGAGATCAACTCAGTGAAAGCACTGCCTGCTGACCAATCAGAGCTCCGTGTGCGGAGTTTAAAGCGATCAATTCATATGACAGGAGGAGAAAGGAAATACAGTTTAAACTGCCGTTGCAGGAAAGACGACCGGCCAAAATCAACTGACTGTGTGAACGTGAAAATTAATAGAATATCCCCTCCCATCTTCAGAGCAATCTGACTATTATAACATTAGCGTTAAGAAAGCTTACTTAAATATCTGCCACGACATAAGTAACCGGATCAGAGTAACATTAAGTACAGTCCGCGGCACTGTGAGTGCAGACGTAGATGTGTCCCATTATCATTCATATCATATCACATCATAATGTATCATATATTTCCTTATCTGAGTCAGCTGAGCCGTATCTGGCCGTGCAACACTCACAGTGTCACATACTGTATGCAGAAGTATTATTTTAAGCAACACATTAAATTGACGAAACACTCGAGTCAAATGTAATTAAAGTCAGATCGTGTCTTGGACGGGGCAGTGATATCATAAACCTGTTAATGTACGCATTCAAACACTTTTTCTGTTACCAGCTGTATTCACCTTGCAGGTGCAGCTATGTGGCTTTGATCCTGGATAAAGTGTTTAAGTCATGGATGTTTAAAGTTTAACTTCTTCATATTTGACTAATATTAAAGTTCACTTTTCATTCAGGAAGTATGACGCTGCGCTGTCAGTACGCTTCTCCGTGTTTGAGATTGGTCGAATGCTCCAAATACCACCCCTTTCATGTGAACGCGCACCTAACTAGATAGGACACGGCGGCTTGAGCGATCCACTTGATATCCAGCGTCGTAGTACAGTTTAGCGCCAGCGCGTATGTTTTGGATTACGCCAACCGGCTAACTCCAACATATCCAGGTTAAGTTGAACCAGCTTCGTAGTACAGGCCTCAGGTCTATGAAAACAAGCCCAAAAGAAGCAACACATACATGATGTTGTGTAATTTTAAACCAAAACTAAGGCCTCAGGATGACTTTAAGATGTGAACATGGTCATTTTTGTTTTGCAACATTAAATAAAATAAGAAAAATATTTTATTAAAAAAAAAAAAAAAAAAAAATTCCGATCCCCGATTTTTTTCTCCCGATTCCGATCTTTTGAAAATCACGTGATCGGCTCCGATCCCCGATCACGTGATCGGATTGGGACATCTCTAGTAATGTATGTTTGCCACTTGCTTATGAAGCCTACATCAATTAAAATGACTCAACATTGACTTTCGATTTCACATGGGACACACATGAGACTACTTTGGTCTCTTCATCATTTTCACAGCCAACAAAGATCCGCATTATTGTATTCGCATTGGTGAGGAACCATGTCAATGGATGATAAGCTGCTATCTGAACCTACCGACAGGACCTTCGCAGCAGCCTCCCCCTCACTCTGGAACTCCCTCCCCAGCCACGTCCGATCTGCCAACACTCTCACATCATTCAAACAATCCCTCAAAACTCACCTTTTCACTCTTGCCTTCAACTCCTAATCCACTAACCCCTCGCCCTTATTCCACCTAGTTTAGCACTTTTTACTTTTGTTGTTATTTTTCTTCTTTACTTGCTTGTAAAGCGCTTTGAGCACCAGGAAAAGCGCTGTATAAATGTACTGTAATGTATTATTATTTTTTATTTGTATTATTATTATTATTACTTGTAGATGTACAGACCCCTTCCTTTATCAATGACCCATTGATGATGGCTGATATGATTTGAAGCATGTGATATTATCATTTGTGTACTATAATATCACAGTAATGGTCCATACCTATTGTGACACCATCTAGGTGTGTGATAGCTAGTGAAATACAATGCTTTCTTGTGCAGGAGCATATCTATAGTTTTGAGGTTGCTCTGAAGAGATGGATATCATTCTCTTTTCCAACACTCAGTGACACACATCAGCTGCTCTTTCATCCAGATCCAGCCCTGTCACTGCAGCTCTGGACTCAGCAGCAAACAGAAGCTGCTCCAGTACCAGCTTTTTGAGAGTCAGGCTGCAAATTATTACAAAAATAGAACCAATGCATAATGACTTTCACCTTGATCCCTATAAGAGTTCCAGGAGTTGAACAATTTGCCAATTATCCCGTTAATTCCACTCTTCCAGCTTCCTCACTTTATTCTAATTCGAATCCCTTGCTCGATTTGATTATACCATTAGGAGGCATTCATTTCTAATTCCTCCTTACTTTAGAAATGATTGTCCTCCCTGGCAGTAAAAAAACAGGATGCTGGCAATGGATTGTGCGTACATCTGTGACACACAGGGTTTCAAGATTTCCCCAAACATGAATCACTTTAATGATTGGAAAGAGAGTTTGAGTAAGTTACATAATTAGATGGAAATATCAACTTCTACATTTGGAGTAACCACATTACTTTGGCACATTTTTCAATAATCCATCTGTGAGGCATCTGTCTTGCTCTAGGATCCAACTGCCTTCTCCCAGCAGATTGTGGGTAGATGCATGGCCTGCCCTGTGAGGAGCTGACACCTGTTAAAGGCAGAGAGGAGAGCAGAAACATGTGGATGGGAGTAACCTGAAGCATTTGAAGGCCTTAGATACATACCAGTTTCCAGGTTTAAATCCTCTTTATGACCTTTGATGGATGTTCTCCTCTCTCTCTGTCAAATCCTGCCTAACACTTGCAGGTGTTATAATACAGCAGAGGCCTGCCTGTGGTCAACCAGGTGATTTATGTTATGACTTTCAGGAGTGAAATACCTCCGCCTCGCTCACAACCTAAACAGGTGGTTGAGAGAATGGATACATAGAAGAGTATTTTACTGCAGCCATTTTAAACACTTAAAGGTGGGGTAGGTAATTTTGGAGAAACCAGCTCGAGTGCGCTAGAATTTGAAAATACACAGCCGGAAAAATCTGCCACTTCCTTACAGAGCCCCTCCTCCAACACACACGAACGTTCACATGACCAATGAGGGCACGAGATAAGTTTGTGCACAGATGGAAGGCTGACAGGCAGGTAGGCCATCCAGTTATTTTAGCCGGGCCGGCTAAAATGATTGGTCGTACTTTTTACAGTACTACGGCTTCCACAGATGACATTTTTTTATGGATTTTTTGTCAAAGCACTTAAGATATTCATTGCTATCGGGATGTTAAGAGCATTCCATGGAATATAACAAAAAGTGTATCTCGAGCCGGTTTCTCAAACTTACCTACCCCACCTTTAACATACACATTTCCAATTTTAAGGGTGGAGAAATTATCTTATTCCACACTGTCTCAGTTTAAAGCAATATGAGGTATATTCAAACTCAGACGGTCTTATTGTGCCACATTTTATTCACATCCCCAACAAAATCATCAAGAGAGTTTGAACAGCCTGTAACCCACAGTGTCAAACTGTTTAAACAGCCTGGTGGATTTTTCTCAAGGGCCTATTATTAAAGTAGAATTTTAAAGGAGAAAATGTTAACCTATGACTCCTTTTGGAATGTCTGTTATATATATATTTATATTATACTTGAACAACTCTGCACTTTCTGCTGTTTTGCACTTCTGGTTATAATGCTAACTGCAATTTGTTGTCGCACTTGAGAGATGACAATAAAGTTGAATCTAATCTACTCTAAATCAAACTTCCTAATAAACGTGTGTTTTATACTAAAACATAACAATTATGTCAGAAACTTCACAATAATTGGTCAAATTAGGAGTGTCCGCAACAACAAAGTCTAATCTAAGGTTTAATGTTTTGTTAGTGGACTAGTTGAATTTTCTTTATACTTAAATCACAGATCATGCCTTTAAAAAACTGTACGGATGATAGAAACATGCCGCAAGCCTGAGGGTATACAGGGAATATGATCATTGCACCCACACATCAGTGTCAATGTCTGCCTGTTTGCACACACACACACACACACACACACACACACACACACACACACACACACACACACACACACACACACACACACACACACACACACACACACACACACACACACACACACACACACACACACACACACACACACACAATCAAACGGAAGGATTCTCATTGTGTGCTTTTCTAAAGAGAAAATGGTTCCCCTGATGAGAGGGGTTGGTGGTGGAGCTCCCGGCAAACAGGAACCACAGCTAGTGTGCGCAAATGCGGCTGAGAGGGGCTTGTATAAGCAGCTGAAAATGGAGAATGAGTGCCCTCCCCTGGTGGCACTGTTGCCTTCCTGCAGCGTTTACCTGTGGAACTATTACTCATCAAATCATTAACACACACACAAACACAAAAACAAGGCTGCAGAGTCCAATTTCAGAAAGCATTTTTAAATTCATTTTATTATTTTATAGCTAATTTACAACAAGCGCTTCACTGAACTGGAACATTTTATTTTGCTTGATATTGTCATCGTTAAATATATTTTTCTGCATCAGTTGACTTTGTTGTAACTTTGTATTCAGTCTTTTCTGTAAAAATTCATATATTTTTATAAGGAATATCACACTATGATACGGATGGCTGAGAGAGATATTAAGAAATACATTGAACCCTCAAATAAAGAAATTGAAAACATATTATTCCATTCATAGATGTGTTGTCATGTGTTTCTGTGATTCTCTCAATGTCTAAATGTTGATGCATGTGCGGAAATATGTGTGTGTGTGTGCAGATGTTTTTTCTGTGTTTGAGCTGTTTAACTGGGCTGTGGCTCTGATGGATCCCGTACTCATGTCAATTCAGCAGTGTGCACGGCTAAATATAAAGCCACACAGCACTCCAACATCTCCAATATATTTACAGCATCTCTGCCCGAGACCCAAAAGCACTCTCAATGTGGAAAGAAAATACAAAAAAATACAGACTTGAGATGGAACCTGTGACAGTCTTAAATAAATAATAAATCATAAAACTTCATACTTGTCATTCACAGGCTTCAGCCCTGAGCTGAGAGAAGCAAGTGAAATAAACAAACAATAAATATGAATGGTCACTTCCATCAACACTTCCACCTTCACTCTTATAATTCAGAACAAATTATAAGTAAATACAAACACATGCTCATAAAACCCTTGAGTCCACTATCGTTTTTTCTCGCTGATACCTGTAGCATATAATGCCGTCAGTGCAAACTTTATAAATACTTTTTTTAAATCTTAGACACGTAAAACCATCTTCATTGCATAACATCATAGCAGTATTGCACTACATCGTCATGTGCATGTCTCACTCTCGCTCGGGCGCACACACATACGCACACCACCCATTAATGTATTATACATTATAACCACCTGTGGATGTTATAAAGGATAGATATTCTCATATAGTATCATTTATAGTTTATACACGACACACGCTTTCTTGTCACCCGCACAGACACACAAGCTGCAAACACACAGATGCACGCGCACACAGTCAGACACACACAGCTGCATTCTACATGTGTTGCCATTGGTTTTCAACGTACACAAGAGTGTGTCAAATGTGTCAGTTCAAGCTCTGGTGTGAGGTCTACTTTACGTTGAACGGTTCAGTTATATCTGCTTTTTGCTGCGTTTTACAACAATAAAATGGGAGTGTGAGTAAATTCAACAACCAAACTGCAATATTACCCAAAGGAATCAATGGAATATTGTTTGGAGATGTTGATTTTTACAGACTTAGTCCCGTTAGAAATTGCCATAAAAAAGATATATATATATTTATATTCATATTTATACTTGTATTTATATATATAGGCCATTTATTTGTTAAACATGACTTATCTTTAATCTGTGTGGACACAAGAGGGAGAAAGAAGCAGAGAAAAAGTGGAAGAGAGAGAATAAAAGAAGACCTATTCCTCCCACACAGAGGAGCTTTCCACACATGAATGTGCACACACAGCGACCCACGCGCACATGCAGACACACACACACACGCCATGGCTTTTTACTGCGGCCACTGGAAACAGTGTGTACGTCTGCGGCTGAGGGGTTCTTTTGGAAGAGTGGTGGGTGAGTCGGCTGTGGTGCGATGGAGCTCTGCTGTTTGTGCCTAGAGAGATAACATTCATCCTGGATTCTGACTAGCAGGTCAGAGCAGCCAGTCGCCCTGTAGAGGAGTGTGCTAGGCTACAGCTGAGGTTACATCTCTACACGTGTGTTTGTGTTGGTGCATGGGTGTGTTTGCGTGAGTGTGTGTGCGTAAGAGAGCAGAGGCTAAACTGCATGTCGGAGCATCTACGGCCTCCCTAACTCATCACCGTGTCTCTCTTCTCTTCTTCCTTCATGAGACATGCTAAAAAACTCCTCCACAATAAGGAGGTGGAGAAAGAGAACACACCCTACTTTTCGCTTTCATCATTTTTTTTCTTATTTTTTTGTGTCAGATTTTTTTTACCATTGTTTTTGTGTCCATTGTCTTTGAGGATGCATGCACAAATTCAGCATATGAGTTTTTAATCATTATAATAATTTGAACTGCCTTTAAATAATGCCTCGCAATATTCAACATGGGTGATTGAGCAAGTGTCAGGCTCGGTCACTGAGGTGTTATTCGGAGTTCACGCTCAGAGCCAAGAGGAGATTCACGAGAAAAAGGGACTCTTTGTCGAGAAAAAGACACGTTGTCTAGAGGGACTCAGCAGGATGTTCTCAGTGTTCCCCGTTCCCTGTCCCGAAACAAGGCGGAGCCGACAGGAGGAGGAGCAGAGAAAGCCAGGAGATGATACAAAAAGTTTATTTTTTGAGCACCTCCATCTCAGACATAGGCGCGTGATGGTGTTTATGGGGGCAGAGACTTAAGAGGGGTGGGGAGGGTGAGGTTGTGTTAATACTACCTCGGGGTCCGCCCTGCTGGGTCCCCCTCTGCTCTCTGTCAAGCCCTGTTCAGACCTAATGTCCAGATAAATTCAGACAGCAGTTCACACCTGGCATCAGAATGCATCTGAAATCTCTCAAGGAAATCGCTTGTGATTATATTTTGCTTCCTTTTTGCATTTAAACTGCAACTGCGTACACACAGAGTTGTTTGGCAGCACGTAATCAACAGGACATTTGCTTGCCCAGTTTTCAGCTGCAGTCACAGCTGCATTTAAAGCTGTCCAAGATGCATTTTGATGCCGAGTGTTAACAGAGCCTCAATACTCAGTTCTGCCTCATAAAAGTGGAATACTGATTAAGTATTTTCAGTCTAATTACACATCGCTGTGCTCACATCTGTCTCAGAGTCTCTTTTTTGGTCGCTCTTTGCCTCGCTGTGTCACTTCCTGTGTTTGTCTCAGTCTCTGTGTTGGTCTTGGTATGCATTTGTCTCTCTGTGTCATTCTCAGTGACGCCTAAAGCACTGACTTTGCTGGAGGACAGACAGGCAGGCGAGGCTGGCCGTGAGGGTGGAGGGTGGTGTCGTCGGTGGTTGTGATAAAAGGGGTGGATTTTGGAGGGGTGCAGCATCACAGCCTCTCCCGGGTGGGGATCCAGATGTAAGGCCCCGATTGCTCCTCGATCACTGTCTTTACTTTGTGATAAACCTCTTCAAAGCTGTCCCCCTCCACGACAGCTGCAGGAGGATATGTGAGGAAAAACAATGAAGAGAAGAAAATTGTGAGAAAAGACAGAAGAGAGAGCATGGAAATAAAATCACAAGGGAGTAAACAGAGAGATAGACAAAGGATGTGTTTCAGAATGCATCACAATGAGAGGAATAATCAAGTATGTATGTGTGAAATTGTAAATATCAAGTTAAATCCAAATGTTAAACAACATTTACATCATGTACTGTATGTTTGTCTACAAAATCTCCCACATATTTATTCAGTCTCACACGTATTGTTTCCTTAGCTGATAAAATGTCACATCCGACAGCTGTTCGTGATTCGTTATAAATTGCAGACAGCACCAGATTTGTGAGGAAACCCATCATTCATATTCTGTCGACTGCTGTGATTTGCCCTAAATGTGTCCCTTACATGTTAAAATGCCCCCCCCCCCCCAGAAGCAGAGTGTTTCTCATTTAACTCTTTGAGCTCTGCCGGGAAGAACATGAAAAAGTAAAGTTCATCTTTGCGGAGGAGGCTTGTTTTATCATTTGCATTTGTTGGCATTTAACAATTAAAAAAAAGGAGAAAAAGCATAGTGAAAAGCAAACATTATAACCCTCTGATGTGTGAACATGAGCGCCGGAAATCAACCGAAAATATGGACAATCTGTTGTTTCAAAAATCTTGTTATCATAAGATGTATGTTTTTTTACCACCACTTCACATTAAATAGCTTAACACACAGCGGAGTGCAAACACATGAGTGTATTAACTCACGTTTACCATCTGGTGCTGCCATAATCCAAACCGAAATCCACAAACAGTGTACATGTGCTCATTTGGCTATTTAGAAATCCCATGCTCAGTGAGTACACATCATTTCTGTGTGTTGATATCATATAGACAGACAAACGCTCCGCTCTTACCCGAGAAACACTCTATGAAGTCTTGCTCTAGTTTGAGGGCTCGGTCCATTCCTTTCCTGGCCTGTTCCTCAGTCAGGCGAGTGTTGATCTCTCTGTTCACATCACACACACAAATGTTCAATATTAGAAATACCTTCATGATGTGCAGATTATTTAAATGTAAATGTGTAAAGAGCTTTCGAAGTACGTACAGGACATTCTCCAGTGACTTGGGTCGGACAAAGATGGCGATGGGATGAAGCTGAGCGGCTTGTAGTCTGCGCACAGCGTTCGCCGATACATCCAGAATGCAGTGCTTCCCCTGCTGCACGCGCACATGTGCAGAGAAATAAATAGGTTAACATTTGATTTAAAGGCAGAAAGATTCATACCAGGTAGAGTGAGCTCAGAAATATTACATCATGTCACATTTTTGTAGAATTACAAAAGGAACTTAAGTTAAAAAAGAATATCTGTTGTATGAAAACACAAAGTACTGGCAGGCTTTTTGTACATTTTGAACAAGCAGAATTCCTAATGTCATAGGGGTGGATCAAAACCAGTTGGCTTTGTCATTATTGTATGTTTGGCTGAGCCAGGTTTAAATAACAAAATAAAATACAGTCAATACAAACGAGAATGACGACTTTTAAACTGCCAGTTAATTGGACAACAAACCAGGAGAGAATGTGTCTCTTTGGTTCAACTTTTCTCCAATGGTATCAGAACATTTTCATCACACAATAAAAAACATATTTAAATGACAACAAGTAGGATGATTGCTTAAAAGAAAAGGTATTTATTCTCATTTCCTGGTGCACCGTGTTGCTGCGTACCTGCTCAGCCACCTCGCGGACGCTCTGCACGCTGGTGCCGTACAGGTGACTGTTGTACTGGCCCGCCTCGATGAACCGATGGCTCTGGATGTCCTTCTCCATCTGTTCCCGTGACGACACAAAGTGATAGTCCCGCCCATCCACCTCATACTCCCTCTTGGGCCGTGTGGTGTCTGTCATGGGTGAAACAAAACAATACACTTTGAATCTTAAAATGTAAGCAATTACTTCTCATTATGCAGACATCACCCTGAAATGGCTGCAGGTGGCAGCAGTGACATGAAAATAAAAAAACTGTGAGCCTGTCGGTCTCCATGACTGACAGGTTAATTACTCACGTGGAACACAAGATCCAAACTTATCAGGGAATTCAGACAATAGGTCATCGTTTATCCTGTCTTTCACAGGGCCCAGGATGATGATGGGTCTCGCATAATGAACTTAGCATAAAGAGAAAGAGAGTAGAAACATTCAGAAAAGGGATATACGGACAAAGTGTAATATAAAAGCTTTAAATAATAGAAATCTTTAGGACCTTACCTTCCACTTGGGTGACAGTCTCATAACTTTGTGAGGTTTTATCTCTCCCTGGTGAAAAAACATAGAAGCATTTCTTTAAACCAAAAGAAATTGCCTTTTGCATGCGTGTGTGTCCGTATTTGTGTGTACTGAATGTGTTTTCAAATGTTGAAGCCAATACATCAGAGTTTCTTTGCGAGCCAAATGTCAGTAATTGCACTAATCCATATAGCAATTTCAATAAAATCAGATGGATTGTTCAACCCTAAAAGAGTTTCCTCCTCCACTGCAGTTATTAACACATTTTCAGGAAACAATGCAATACATGCACCTTTAATAGAGCTATTACTCTGGTTATTGATATTACAGGGTGTTTATTATGCGTATTTTCATAAGTACCATTCACATTCAATATATATATTAAATAAAACCAGGAAAATATTGTTTCTCTGTGTCAGCAAATCATGTTCTTGTGTTGCTGCCCATTTCTTCGTGTTAACTGTAGTCTGCTAGAGTCCGTAACATGTGTAAAGTGTAGCTTGCAGTGTCAATACAGAAACATTTATGCTAAATACTAATTACCTAGAGTGCCCAGGCTGTCTCGACCATGGTCCTGCAACAGAAACCAAAGCAGAGATTTACGCACTAAAAGGCAGATTGAGAGTCACAACTCATTCAAACAGCTCTGGTGAACACACTTACCCTCTCTTTGGTGTTACCACGAGACCAGTCTTTTCTTTCCACCCTGTGAAGGAGAGGAGGAAGAATAAAAACAGTGAATTTTTGAGACAGAACAATAAAGTTAGAAAATTAGGTGTTTTTAGAAAATAAGAAGAAGAAATGTAAGAGGTCCCACACTCACTCACAGGAAAAAGTCTGACCTGTGCTTGCTAGGGATGAAGCCGACCTCCTCAGCCTCGTTCTGGGGGCTGACCTTACGGGCCTGCCACCACTCCTCGTCTCCACAGTCCAACACATGCAGCACATCCCCAAACCTGAAGCCCAGAGCCTGACTGAGGAAGCCACAATCTGCAGTCTTGTCATAGTCAAAAAGAGCCCTGAGGGATGGAATAATTTACATCAGACATTTTATTTAAAAATATATTTGCAAGTCTATTAAACCACTATTCCTTGTATGTGTTAACCTACTTAACAATAAACGTGTTTCTTATTTTGATTCTGATTGAACACGAACCATTATTAACAGTATTCCTATATTTTAGCTTGAGTCGCTTTATTTGTACATCTCCTTTATCACCATTTTTAAGCTTTTCATAGAGATGAAAAGAATATTTTTCTTTGATTAACAGACTATTTAAAAAAGGCTAATCCTGCTACATTATTATTATATTGTAATATTATTTCCGGTCACTAGTGGCAGCACTAGGCGCTGTAATTTGTGCAGGGCTGCAGTCACCGAGAGTTATGCGCCATCATTGAGAGATGTTTTGATGTGTTTGTGCCGGTTTGTGCATGTTTTCCATTGCCACAAGTCGTGATTTTGTTATTTTACATACCCCTGACACTGCCATGAATTCTGCTGAAATGTTGCAGAGAAGTCCCCCCACCCTCCAGTGGTTTAATTCCAACCCTTCATCTGATAAACAACGTATTGTCTAGCAAGAAATAGTTGTAATGGGAGTTTCTGTCATACAGCCGTCGCTGACCATGAGGTTTGACAGAACACGTACAGTTTAACGGCTAGAGTAACTGTTAACCAGTTTGAAACACGCTCGCGCACAAACAGCTCCTGGACATTGGCCAACGCCAACGGCATGTTCCCTCACCTGAAGCCGAGCTAACGGCTCTGTTCGACGGCAAAATATTTAAGCTAGCCTCGCTGGGAGACCATCGTTTTTGAGGAAAACTGGATTTCAAATCACATTTCTTCCACAAATTCTGAACAATGGGGAGAACCTATGGGAGCTGTCCGTACCAATGGATATTACAAACGACATTATGTGTAACGAGACATCCGATACCCAGAGGAGACTGCTGCGGTTATCGACACACCTGGACCTGAAGAGGACTTAATCACCAGATTCCAGAGGGAAAAGAGTAAGAAGTTCATCTAAAGGTAAGACCCAAATGCTGTTTTTACTCGGAATTTTGCTTATTGTGACAGGGTTTTCTATTTGAACTGGTTGCAGAGATTGTGATGATGATTATAAACATATTTTTATTTGGGTAATGTCTTCATGACGCTTTTTCGTTGGTTAGTCATGATAACATGTGTCGCTGGTTGGTTGGTTTGATTGGTTGGTAGTTTATCTCACTGTATTTACCATAAACTGTGTAGAATTGGTTATTTGTTGGTATGAAGTGTAGTTAACAAAGCAATGCAATGGAATTCTACTAGTATTTGCAGTAAATCTACTAGTATGGGCAGTAAATCCACATTGAGTCATAATGTGACATGGCGTCCTATCTTTTGTTGGACTGTAACTTTAGTGCTTATATATACTTACAATATCATGTATTTATGTTTATTTCTTCTTACAATTTGTGTCATTTTAATTGCACACATAATCATGTGTTAGCCAGGCCTGTGCTGGGGTTTTCCCTAACTTGAGTTGTTATAAAAATAACTATACAGCCTGCGATTGATATAGTAAATGTTCTATTAATTGTCCCTATGGACATTTCAGAAAAATCCCTAAAATAAAGGTTGTTAGCCATTAGCCAGCATAAGATAAGACATACATCTTGACCTTATTAAAACAAGTCAAATGTGTAAGATTGACCATATTAGCTTTTAAGAGGGAATGAACGGCTCATCTCATCATATTGCTTTTTGATATTTCTTGTTATAGTGCCTTGTATTGTCATTTTATTTATCTGTTCTGGATCACACTCGCAACTTTGGAGACTAACTGATTGTAGAATTGCCTGCTGTGTCTACGATAAATCATATCTTTCTAAACTCACAATTTCAGCTCTATTAAGGCTTTGTAGTAACTTCATACATTTGAATAACATTATTTAGCACCATATCAGTGCTTTTGAGGATGACTTGCTTTTCTCAAGCAAAATATATGACAAAATCATGGTTTGGTAATTACAAGGCAATCCCATAATGTCACATATAACGTAATCTTGACCAGGAGAACTAAAACTGGGTATCAACGCATATCAGTTAGGTTTGTTTTGCCTAAATATTCGTAATATAATGTTAGCTACAGTGCACATAGTTGCATAATTGTGTGTGTCTGTGAGAGACCTGATGTAGAAGCCTCTCTTTGGGTTGCTCCTTAGCGTTGTGGTCCCAGAGCCCATACTGCTGTTCATCAGCTGTTCCCTCAGGTCATGGATCTTAGCCTCAAAACGACTGTACTCTGAAACAGAGAAATACAAACATATCAACTTTTTGACATGCACTTGTTTTTAAGTGATAGGGAGGCCCCAATCTAACGTTTTTTTCATTACGAAATATCTCTCCATCTTTAAGATATGCCAGTATTTAATTTTAGAAACGATAAATCTTTGTTATGAATGAGTGTTGTGGCTTTACCGTCGGGTCTGTACTGAGCGATGATGGTCACCGTCTGGCCGGCGTTCTTCAGGGCAGCAGCCGCCTGTTCGTGTGTGGCCATACGCAGGTCGACGCCGTTCACCTGACACACACACAGCATGACTTTTAAAAACTTTGTGCAACTGTAGGTTAATGTTAGTGTTTGACAACTTCATAAAGATTAAAGTGTCCTTACACTGAGGATCTGATCGCCCTTGTGCAGCTCTCCGCTGAGGTCAGCTGGCCCCCCCGCCAGGATGAAGGAGATAAAGATTCCCTCTCCGTCCTCCCCTCCGACGATGTTGAATCCCAGACCAGTGGAGCCTCGGTGGATCAAAACTCTGCGAGGCTCCCTGACAGAGGAAGGAGAGAGGAAAGTAGACATGTTAAAAAAACTAGCACTAAACAAACTCAATATAATCAGTTATTCTAACATAACACTGCTAACCCTACTACTGCACATAATAAAACCGTTTGTAGCACATTAGGCTGAAGGATCATTGCTCACCTCGGGATGTCATCATCTCCCATCATGCCATGCAGAACAGGAGAAAACCGACTAGGCGAGGTGGGAGTGAGGGCTTGTGGGTAATCTGATCCAAGATAGCCGGGGTGGCTGAGTTCAGTGTCCATATGGGAATATGCTGAAAGAAAATACATACAAAGATGTATAAGAAATGGCTTTCCCACTGCGTAAATGCACTTCAATGTGATACTTTGGTAATGTTTCGTTTGAAAATAAAATGCTGTTATCAGCCATGAAACCTACTGCAAAAAGAGTGTTACCATGCTCAGATTCTTTTATTACGAGTGCTGTCAAAAGGCGAGTTCAAGTGAAGGACATTTCTTGTGTTTCTGTGAGGAGAAAAACCCTGAACTGTACACCTCAGCTTTGAACACCCACAGTCATCTTCACTGTATATTACAAGTTATTATCTCTATCCTTCTTTTGATTGCTGTTTCAAGTCTGAAGAAAAGGCCATCATTGTCGTAGGTGTACATTCTTGGAAATACATCAAGTCAATAGATAAAATATATTTGGTGTTTTCTGGTGTGATTTGTCGCTACTGCCATACTTTACAACACACAGACTGTAGACTTTCAAACAGAGAGGGGCTTACTGCTGGTGAGGTCTGGTGGGTTGTAGGAGTTGGCCAGGAACAGGTTGTTGGGCTTGGCCACCCTGAGGTACACCACCTCGGCTGTGTTCTTCAGAGCCCCCACCGCATCTTCATGCATCACATCCTCCAGACACACGTTGTTCACCTAATCGTTCACGACAAGCAAAGAAACACAATCAGGATCACAGCTGCAAACTGCGAGGCTCAGTATGTAAGAGCGATCAGAGATGACACCTGATCCCCGTCCCACTGACATATTTATATCTAGAGTCACTCTGCAGCTAATAAGAGTGACATTTATGGTCAGAAAACACCAACATATCACATTTAGATACACATTAAGAAGTGAAATGTCAATCTAATTGTCTTATTTATTTTCTAAATAGCACCACTTAAGTGACTAATGTGAAATTTGATCACTAAATGCACTTATTTTTCAGTAATGATACTCATCCCATTCCTGTTAAATCAATACTCTATGACTCACTGTGTGGAGGTGACTGGGTTCATTATATTATGTGTAAGGCAACATCAGGCTTTTCTTTATTAAGCTTGTGTAACCTTTGTAAAGGAAAATGTGAGCTATAAATACAAAGGAATACATGTTTATTTATTAAAATAATGGTATCCAAGGCCAGATTGGCAGTCAATTGGACAATCCAGCTTTTTGAGTCAGTACAGGAGACATACTTTATGTAAATATCAGTATCTGTGCATCTCTCTCTCTTTTTTAAATACTTTAACAATAAGACTGATTTGTAACAGCAGGGACATCGATTTAAATCACACACAAGGTAAAATGAAATGCTACATGTATTGAAAGTGCTCACCCTTACTGTAATCGTTGCACTATAAATAGCTAGATATGAGTCAGATTAAATAGGTGAAGATGAGCAAAGCTACAAATAAAGCTAGGGGTCACTTCTGGATTAGCTGCCCTTATAGGTAATATGCAAATGTCCATCTCTAAGCTAGGTGTGTTAATATTACAAAATAGAGCATTATTACATTTAACGTAATGTAGCCATTGGCTTTAAATGTATCTTTGAACAGATTCATGATGAGCAGTAGCATGTAGCCGTGTCCCAGGGCATTTAGAGGTAAAGCATGTGCTCAGACACCATTTAGCAGAAACCCAGCACCATTTTGATGTTGCTGGTGTTCTCCATCGGCTGCTGCGCTCCAGTCTCTCTGTTCTCCAGCAGAGGGCAGCAGTGCTGCGTGAGACTCTTTGTGGCAGCACTCCAGTTAAACATTTATCCCATCCTACACAGTCATTAACATATTAATGAAAGTAATTCCCGGCCATGAAAATTACGGCTGACATTTATCTTGGCTCTTGATTCATCCATGCTGCTTGTATACACACAAATGTGAGTGTGTGTCTGTGTGCTTAAGAGGTGAGAGTGTGAGGCTATCAGTGACCTGTACTGTATATGTGTGGGCTTGTATATCTCTCCATGCTAGTTATTCCATAAGAAGGACCAACCGCTAAGATCTTGTCCCCGATCTGCAGGCGACAGTCTTTATGAGCCGCTCCGCCTTCAATGATCTTGGTGACATAGATACTGTTATCTCCTGGTATGTGCTGGTTTCCCACCCCTCCAGCAATGCTGAAACCTAATCCTGAGAAAGGGAGTGATGAGAGAGGCAGAGAGTTAGCAAAGGAGGTGTGGGTTAACACAGAGCAGATTTGCTAAATCCAGAGGGCAAAGCTTAGCCGGGTATTAAGTGTCCTTAAACCCGCACAACAGCGTCAGTCTACTTCAACACACCTTTAGGCCCTTTGATGAGTTTGATTTCAGTGACTTTCTCTGCTGCTGGTTTTCTGCGGAGAACGTAGAGGCGCACGATAGCACCTGCCTCCTTAAGGGCCTCCACAGCTTGGCTGTGTGTCACCTCCCTCACGTCAACATCATTCACAAATAGGATGCAGTCATTCACACTGAGCCACAGGGAAAGGGAGATAGAGAGAGAAAAGAGAAACAATTGGAGGGAGAAAGAAAATGCATAATTAGTTTTTGTTTTGGAAGGAAATTGGTGTAATCCTCCACCAGTCGAGGTCAGGATCCGTCAATCCCCAACCATAGCTGTGCTGGGGATCCAGTTTCACAACAGACATCTGGCCTTTTGTTCCCCAACTGTCAGTATCCAATAGGGATGCAGCATGACATCAGCAGTCATCGGTATGCACAAATAAATCATTTAAAATCCTCCATGGACAAAATGTATGTACAGTTCTGTCTTCACATGCTTCATAAAAACAAATATGGTCTGTTAAAAATGCCACCTTGTTGAATTAGATAAAATATCTCAGCGTGTGTCCACATTAGCCATTTGGCCAAAATGAGTTGTGACAAAAATCCAAAATGGTTTATCCCTTATATCAAATATTAATAAGGACAAAACCCTAATGCTATCGATCTGTTAGTTGATCTAGCCCAAAGGTTAGCTGCAGGATATTTCTCTTTGCTTTAGCTGTTCCTGAAAGTAATGAAGAGTGGAAATGTGAAGTGACAGCAGCCTGAGAGACGATTTTGATGAAATAGCTATTTTCATACACTGTTCCTCCAAGGGCCTAAAACTCTACTTATCACAATTCCATTCATGTGTTTAAAATTGATTTTTACGGCCATGAACATTTTAGGGTGTAAGATTTTGTAAGACTGAAATAATTCTTGAGGGCTGCAAGACAAATGAAGCTTAGCCAAAGTTCAATCAGGAACACTGTCTTCATGCTCGCTTTATTTATTTACATCCTCATCTCTCTTTCTTTGTTTTCCCGCTCCTTACTCAATAAGTTGAGTCTCTTTAGTCCATCCAATCAGATGTTGCCACAATCACCTTGAGCCAATCATTAATGTGGCTGTCAAACTTCTAAAACGTTCCTTTTAGATCATGGGGAATATTTCTGTACAGCTAATGGCAGGACCACCCCTTTTTAAATAATGACACTAAGATGGCTCCTAATTGCCTCAGACTCCTCACATATTTCCTCAACTTTTCCTATGAGCACACTTTGTCCACATTTTCTTAATTTCACTATTATTATCCATCTGATTGAATTGAGACGCATCACTAAAGCGAACTCCAATGGCTGCTGACATCTCATGCAAATGCTTTTACACTGAGAGTCAGAGCTGCATATTGTTAAGACAATGTTAAATACTTTCTGGCATGTAGCGGAGATATTTGTATCATACAGCAACATATTTATTTTATATTGGCAATTTCAGAGCAACTGCCCCACAGAGCATCATTTAGTGTTCTCTGTAATTCTGTGCTCATAGATTTACATACAGCCTTTATTAAAGCTATAAAGAACAACCTATGTTCACAGTGTATTAACAGTCCCAAAGAGGCACTATTCAATCTCACATCTAATATTTATACTGATTCAAGAGCTACTGAGTCACTCAATATGAAAGACAAATACATGTTTCAGCGTTTGAATCATCAAATAGAGACTTCAACTGAATGCAACATGAGTTATACACCCACAAATTGCAGGTTTTATAAGAATTCCATTTTTGAGATATCAGGAATATAATGCTAAATGTTTTTTCCTCAAGATATGAGATATGTTGCTCAGAGCAGGCCAATACAACGCATTGCATTCAGGCAAATATAACGTTCTCTGCAGGCCGGCTCTGCTCTCTGAACAAGTCATTCCAGATGGATGTTTATAGGTCAGCTGTAAAATGCAGGGAAGATCCTCTGTACATGGCTCATTTACTGCAGTTGCTGTTTATTGATATCTTCTAACCTTTCCATATCACTGGCTTAAAATGGGATCTATTTTTCACAAATGTCATTTTTGCATCTAAATGTACAACATGTCCTTTTGAGTCTCCTAAAAAACCGAAAAGCAACAGTACTATGACTAGATACTTTACTACTTTACAGTTATTTTTAGACCAAATAACAACAGTATATGTGAAGCAAATTGCTAAATGACCAGTAGTAGTAGTAGTAGTAGTAGTAGTAGTAGTAGTAGTAGTAGTAGTAGTAGTAGTAGTAGTAGTAGTAGTAGTAGTAGTAGTAGTAGTAGTAGTAGTAGTAGTAGTAGTAGTAGTAGTAGTAGTAGTAGTAGTAGTAGTAGTAGTAGTAGTAGTAGTAGTATACAGCAGAGGCATTCAGATCTTGAGTTAAACAGGCAGGCCTTCTATGATGTAACGTTGATGCTGAGCATGCTGGACAGACAATAGGCTGCATTTCTGTGGTACAATACTCTAGACTTTAAGTGAAGAGGTGAGGAACATATGGGATGCTTCTTTAAGTGTGTTTGCTCGTAGAAAAGGGACTGCATGTCAGAATCAGTGAATTCAAAAGAACACGTGCAGGGTAAACAGGTCAGCAGTGCACATTTCTTTTATCTGGAGTCTGCCTAATGGGCCCATTGGCATTTTCTGATTGTTGGATTCTATATCAGTGGATTTAGTGGGATCCTGAAGTGTGTGTGTGTGTGTGTGTGTGTGTGTGTGTGTGTGTGTGTGTGTGTGTGTGTGTGTGTGTGTGTGTGTGTGTGTGTGTGTGTGTGTGTGTGTGTGTGTGTGTGTGTGTGTGTGTGTGTGTGTGTGTGTGTGTGTGTGTGTGTGTGTGTGTGTGTGTGTGTGTGTGTGTGTGTGTGTGTGTGTGTGTGTGTGTGTGTGTGTGTGTGTGTGTGTGTGTGTGTGTGTGTGTGTGTGTGTGTGTGTGTGTGTGTGTGTGTGTGTGTGTGTGTGTGTGTGTGTGTGTGTTCTTACCTCAGCCGTCCATCCTGAGCCGCGGCCCCTCCAGGTATGATTTTGGTGATGAAGATGCTCGGGTCGTCGCCCACATGAGGGTTGTCTGTTCCTCCTGCTATGCTGAAGCCCAGGCCGGAGTTACCCTGCAGAAACAAACACAACATAAAAAAACAGTGAATATTCCCATCAGGGGCATTTCACTGTGGCCTTAGAGCTAGGAGTGAAACATCTGCAGTATGTTTACATGTACATTTGTTTAAAAATCAGCTTCAAAAATCTTTTTATCAGACTCACTCTTTCCAGTGTGATCTCCTCATATTCAATTTCTCCTTCTGTCCCATTTACCTGTAAGAAAGGGATGTTAGTTTACTCAGATTGGACAGTTATGCAACTGCAGATCTATGCTGCCACACACACTGTCACTTAGCTGTTTCTACAAATCATTTATAAGGGGAAAAAAACGGTTTAAATCCTAGTCAGCTAATGTTGATTCAGCATTTGCCCTATATGGGCTTTATCATATATTCATCCACAGGATCGGAAGTCGGGCTTACGGGATTTACCATCAGCTCCTGAACATAGCATCATCAGCGCTAAAATCTGACTATCAGGAGTTCTGTCGACTCTATTTTATTAAGAACAACCCTGCTCCTCTTTGGCATACTGGATGTGTGGACTAGTGTTGTACCTAGATGGAAATAGCAACACTATTCTTATAGTTGATATCGCCTTCTGGCTGAACAACGCAGCTTTACCTCTGCAATTAAGCAAGTCCCAGAAGGAGAGGGAATTTAAAGAAGTTCACTGTTTTGGTATCTGACCTAGAAAACCAAACTTTTCTCAGCGCTGTAGTGGTGCAATAATACTGGTCTGGTGTTCTTCCTCTGAGAAGCCTCATTCACGTATTCCTCACCCATTTCATGTCAGTACGTTCGAGATATTTTATTTCTTTCATTTTAGAAAATACATTATTATGTTTCCATACAGGCTAATGTATATCAAACAGATTTTAATTAAAGGGAGGTCAAATGAATTAGTATATTATTCAGATTAAAACAATGTGCAGAGACCTACCTGGATGCTGGACATGAATGGAATTGCACATAATACAGACTGAATGTGAAGGCAGTTGCGATAACATGGCAATACAATAAAGAGAAGATTCAACATAATCCTTACATATGGGGAGCCATCGAGTGTGTCAGTGTTCACCACCACTGGAGGAGTATTTCCCTGGAGGCAGAGAGAAGACACGATGTGAAGAAATAATGGCAGTAACTTACAGATGAGGCAGCTCCAGGATCAGCTCTCAGTATATCCCTGAACCACTGGTGGCCATTTTAACTCCAAGCTGTGATAATAGCACTTTTCTCATTTCAGGGATGTCACTCTCAAGTATAGAGAGGAGAGCCATGTCTTACAATCCAACCTCGATGGACACGGACATCATTCATGCTAGCCCCCTTGGTTAGGGTGGGATATATGGCCCAAATCTTCTTATATAATGTTATATCATTTTGTATCACGCTAACAGTATTGTAACTGTTCTGTAAATTAAATGAATATATGGTTTAAAATAACTCAACCAAACAAGATAAAGCAATTAAAAAATACCTACATTTTTACTTCACATTATAGCAACAAATAAAATGGACTTTCTTTTTTGCTCACCTTTCATTTAAAAAAGCTGACGAATACTGTGAGAAATGCGAAAAATGGCTGGAAATCATAACACCAAATATCTATCTCATCCTGATTTTCTAATATAGCCCTCTTCTTACACGTCTGCCCAAATAAGGATACTTAGCCGTGCGGCTGTATGTCAGATCGCAATATGGCGTGATCAAACAAGAATCACTAGATTACCTGAGAATAGCTAACAGTAGATACAATATTGCAGAATGATACATTTCTGCATCTGCACAGTAAATACTGCCCATCGCCCAACCATACCTCATAGTCTTTTCAGATGCTCTGCAATTGATGTATATTTGTTAAATACATGGCTATCTATTGAATACTGTCTGCCTCTCGTTTCAAAACAAACTTCTTAAGACAGCGAGCCAATGAGAGGAGAGGAATCTTTGCTATTGATGCAGTTTGGGTTAACTTGCTGAGACGCTTCTCTGTCAGCTCATCTAAAGCATGACATCTAACCTCAACACAGTGACATTTCCTCATAGTCTATTCTCATTCTTTCATTCTGTTATCAAGGAATAGCTCTCTTCAAGGCATCTGATGTTAGAATATGTAAATACCACAATGAGTACAGTACTCTAGAGCACACAATCTGCCTCTCTTTATAAACTCCTGTGTTTGTATTTGTCATTGTTCTGTACCTCCCTGATTAGCATGGGAGACGCTGTGTGCATCTGAAGTGCTCACAGAACAGCAAAGAGCAGCACAAAGCAGCTCGCTGACCTTCACAGGCCTGACAGCTCCGACACACACACACACACACACACAGGCAGCTACACAACACAACGTCACACTCTTTCTCAGCTTTCAGGAACAAACAACCTCACAATCTTACCCAGTGCTTTCTTTTTGGGATGAGATTGGAAGTTATTTCTACACTCAGCCTGTAACTCTATACGATATTTAAGTTGACGTAGAATCCAAGGAAGAAACGCTTGCTGTCACAGATTGTTATTTATTTAATACTGCTCAAACTAATATAGTCTAATGGAACAGTCTTGCAATAATCCTAGCATCAAATATGTTTTTATTTAGGTGCTTATTTAACTGTATGTTTGTGTTGCTGTGTAACTGTATTGCATTACACTGACAGATGTTCCCATTATTGTGTTCATTCTTTTATAAAAAATAAGGGTATTCAAAATAACATAAACATCTGTCTATTGCTATAACATGTCATTACGCACTGCAAATAGCCCGTCCTTTACACAACTTCACCGCCCACTGCTCCAAGCCTCGTTGCTCATTACTAATCAAGTTGAATGATGCTAAAAATAGCTGCCTTTATAAAGAGTTAATACTCATCCACATGAGGTAAAGACATAACAATCTCTCCACAAAACGCCACAGCGCGGCTTTAACCGCACACTGTTCGATTATAACAGTGCCTGTGCAGAGCTTCACCGTGCAGCCCTGTCCAACGGGCCGTGCTGCTGAACATTACGTCAAATTCATCCTTATCTGGAGACAGAAATAATGAGTATAGCCAGCAGAAATCTAAGCCCAGTGCAGGCAGTTTCCCTGCAGGGATTTTGACAGAGCCCTCTCTGCTCTGTCAAGTCGTTCCACGTCGCGGTTGTTAGGATTTACAGTGTTTGGCTGCTCTTGCCCACCTAATATTTTAGCCCCACCTTTTCAGCTAACCCGTCCTCTGCCATGTACAGGCAGCCCCACCATCCATTCTCATTTAAACCTTTGCTTCCTCATGGATTGATGTGCAGAAAGCTAAGTGCCAGAATATGCATTTTCAAAGACAAATAAAACGGATTTATTTAGACTTTTCTTCATATCAGATTTTATAGTGTTTATGTGCTTTAATAATTCCCTAAATTAGAGTACATGCATCAATGTTGTAGCATGCACCGTGCTGAGGCAAGAAGCAGAGCAGCAGAACAGTGAAGCAGTGTCCATTTCTTTTTTCCATTAAGAGCTGAGTATATATAGACTGCCTATGTCTAAAGATGTAGCTACACTCTCTCCCTGCCGAATATGTGACTCACAAGACGTTCCTGTGATCTGGTCCGACTCTAACTGCTCTGTGCACGTGTGCCTGCCTGCATATGTGCACGTTTGTCTAAGGCTCATAACCCATTCTCTGCACGCTCACACCTCTAGTCGCTTTCTGTCTGATGGACAGTTTTAGTGGAATGAGGTCAAATAACGCCAATACTAATGACACCCACCTGCTAACTTAAGCCTAAGGATATTTAAAACACCAACTGCTGTCTTTCCTGTTGTTCAATACCATCAGAGAGGGATGATGCTGGAGAGGCTCTAAAGCTGCATGTCCTGCACACCTTGCTGCTGCTGGAAAGCCTTTAAACCTTAAAAGCTATCTTGTCAATAAGCAAGACAATGACCTCTATTTAATTACGCAATGTCAAGTTATGAATTGGCATGTGTTTGATAAAGACAAAGGGGGTTTTGATGTATAAGCAGGCGAGCATAATTGGTATTGCACAGTGCAAAGTGTGCAAAGTGCTGCTGTTCTGTTTGAAAGAGAGAGAGACACACTCCAGATTGAGCCTTACCTTAGGGCTGTGCAAGGCTGTTAAAGAAGTGTGAGGGGTTTCGTAACGTAGCTGTGAGTTTGAGTTGGGGTTATGTTGTCAGCTTGGATGGCTGGTGAATGTGCTGCCTCTGTGCTTGTGTGTGGGCTTTAGTGCAGGATGTGGGTCATTTGGACATTAGATTATGCACATTGCTGCTCATTAAATCCCACGTTTATATATGAGCAGGGAAAGGTGTATGTGCGTGAGTAATGGGGTTGTGGATTTGATGGGGACCTACGACTTGGGATTTTGAATGAAAGAAACATCACCTTCAAAGCATAGGACTCATTTATTCCCACACACAGCCTGAACAGAATTTAATTGGTATTACACCAGATTTGATTACTCAGGCTCACTGTGATTAAAATCTATCTATCATGGGCCTTTAGTGCAGCCATAGCCTTGAGTTTCCTATCCGTGCAGATAACCAAAACTAAGCCTTGGTATCATAATAATAATAATAATAATAATAATAATAATAATAATAACATAATCAAACACCCACGCTTCAAGCACCACCTCCAAGCCACCAAGCAAAATTGCATTTTCATTTTTCACAAATATAATAAGTAAACATGTTTAAAACATGCATACCATCCTATGATGTCGCTGTTTCTTGGATTTCCGTACATTGTCGAGGAAACGGCTGCCCATCTTTTTGGCGTGCCACACGGACATGAACATTTTGCTTCAGTGTCGAAATGTAGCCTAAATCGTGGTGCGACCTGCTGCTCACCGCCAAACATAACAGACTCCAAGAGCGTGGCTGGAAGATTTCGAGTGCGCTCTAAAAATGTCAGCTTTGAACGTTACCACCAGAGCTTTATTGCCAAGCGAGCCATTAGTTGTGGGCCCTGCCATTACAGTATATCAGACACTATGAAGCGTCCACATAGCCTCAGAAATATCTAAAAACACACTTTCAGCATTGCTTTCCATTCAGCCTGAATAGAAGAGAACACCAAGGATAGCTGCAAAAAAAAAGGATACAGCTTTTATACAATTTAAAATCCAAAATTGCAGAAAAAGCACAGCCCATTAGTATCCTCCTCTTGCTGAGTCTTCATTTGAGGAAGCACAATTACATCCTCCAACCCAACGCTCCAGTTATAAAAATGACTCCTCGCTGATGAGGCTCGTTATTATCTGAGACACAATCGTCCTGTCTTCAGAAATCACCCATCCGGAGTGAAAATAATCATTTGCTAACAGATCCTCCCGGTCTTGTGGTGCGATCGCGGAGCCTCCCTGCTGCTGCTGTGTGCTCGGAGAGAATGCAGTTCATATTTTCTGCCTCTACTGTACTGTACCCCTCCCATCCCTGCTGCTCAGAGAAAGAGGAGCGAGCAGGAAAGTTTGATGGCAATTACTTAGCTGTCTCTCTGTATACTGTCGACGCTGGTGATGTGAGAGAGGGAGGTATTATACTCTGGCTGAACTTAGAAGGACAGGCAGCTCAAACTGGCCTGACGCCTACGAGGGAGCACTTGAAACTGAGAGGAGGCTGGAGGCCCGCTAGCCCCGCTTCTACAGTCAGAGAAGTGAAACGTAAACATAGTAGTGGCAGCCAGGGTGATGAAATATAGCTCTAGTTTTTCCCCTTGCTTTAGTTGCTTTTTCTGTTTTCATTTTTAGTGAGGATCTTAAATCTTTGCAAATATTTTTGTCACAGAAAATCCGAAATGCTACTTACTCCTATTCTGCTTTGATTTGAACAACATAATGTTCACTATCATCACAAACATGTGTATGCTTCATGGCCCTGCAATGAATTCAGCACCATGGACAGCAAAACCCCAAAGGAGCGCAACAAATATAAAAGGATGTTTGATTAGGAAATAACGTGCACAGCTGCCATTTTATTCATTGCATTAGGAAATGGTGGATATTGCCACGAAAGGCACTTCATTGACCATTAAACGAGTCAAATTCCTGTGCGTGTGTGTGTGTGTGTGTGTGTGTGTGTGTGTGTGTGTGTGTGTGTGTGTGTGTGTGTGTGTGTGTGTGTGTGTGTGTGTGTGTGTGTGTGTGTGTGTGTGTGTGTGTGTGTGTGTGTGTGTGTGTGTGTGTGTGTGTGTGTGTGTGTGTGTACTGTATGCGCAGAGGCTTGCACACACTTAACATTCTTATGTAAGAACATGCTGAAGGACAAGCTGTCGGCTGACGTTCCCATTTTGCCAAATAAAATTCCTCTGTCTACCTATCTCTCACTCTTTCAGTTGCGAGGCCTTCTCTCCGTCTCACTCTGCCATACAGCATGAACAGCTCTCTCCTCGTCTTCCTGCGTGCATATTTTTTTCTCTTCTCTCTCTCGCTCTCTCTTCCCTCTCTCTCTCTCTTTCCCTCTCTCTCTCTCTCTCTCTCTCTCTCTCTCTCTCGCCTTCCCAAAGGACCTGAGCTGCTGCTGCACTGTAATTACACCGAAGCTGCAGGGACATATTTAAACATTTATTAAAGAAAAGTAAGGAGGACGGAGAGAATGAAGATAGAAACCAGATACCAACTAGACATGAGTGCCGAGCTGAAAGGGGAGGGTATAATGGGGGGCTCTTGGGGAAACACTATAGAAAACAGTAATTGAATCCTTACATACAAAATGACTCCTTCTTTGCTTAGTGTCAAACACGTCTTAGAGGGGTTAGCTGTTTTGTCTGGAGCATTTGTGTGAACAAAGTATTGTGTCGGAACAGTTCTGTGGTTAGAGGAGAGAAACTGATATGGATTCTTTTTCATTAGAAGAGACAGTGTAATATAAACTGAGAGGAGGGGGTATTTAGAAAGCACTTCATGCCTGCTGGTTTTCACTCCCGGCTTTTCAGTTGAAGGATACATCTCAAATGTGTTGTGTAATGTTTACTACTTTAGAAAAACAGTTTCCTTAACACTTCTTTTGAGACTGATCTCTGTAACTGCAGATAGATTGTTATGGAAAGAGACAAGGAGCAAGGACAGGATGGTTATCTCAAATATATAGGAAGCTTTGGTATTTGTGGTAACTGTGGTATATTTCCTGCTTCTACGGATTTACACATGCTCAGGGATGTTTTTGTATGTCATTAGGGGAAGTTTGAAGACATAATAGATGCTGGCCAAGTTTCGCTCAATACCTAGGTGCCTTTGGGATTCACTGCAAAGGGAAATACCCTTTCTGCAACACCGAAGCTTCACTGCTCATTAGCTCAGCCTTACACTTTCAAAACAACCCTTTTCTTTATATTTTTCTAGCAGGTGAGAGCACATAGTTTGCCTCCCTCTTTAGAATTATTTTGATGCTTTATTGTCTTTTATTGTGTACATTTGTGATACATAAAAAAGCAATTATTTGGGGCTTGTATTCGCTGTTAGAACATAGAACTTCTAATGTAATCACAGCAGTCTGAAAAACGGTCATCACAACAATTGATGTAGCCCCATAATAAAAGTAGGACATGGTACAGCAGACTCAGAGTCATATAAAGTAGAAGGGGTAAGGATATCCATTAATATGAGCATAGATCAATATCAAAAGTTCTGCGCTCGGTGCGAAAAAAAATCATTTCTAATTACATTATACCCCGAGTAAAGAAAAAAAAAGGATGTCATTTGAAACTAAAGCACCTCTTCGCTAAATCATGTACATAACCCATAGACCTCGTCTTACTTTGCCAAACCGTTGCAGTGCTTCCAGAGACAATCCTACCCATAAATCAATGGGGCCTGGAGTGGAGCTGGCAAACCCCACACCATTAAAGCAATAAAGAGACAGACTGACGACACCACCCACACATCAATGACAAGCACTACACGTAACACGCACACGCACACGCACACACACCTTACAGTACAGAACATGGATGAAGTACGTCTGTGAATGTGTGAGGGGATGTATGTGAACACATTTTTCTTACTGATGACTTTATGCTGCAAGGTTGAGCAGAATGCCCCATATGTTAAACAGTTTAATTATAAGCAGGCCCTTCAAGACATGGTGTGTTCAAGGTCAGGCCAGGCAGACAAAGACATGAATGGATGTACATGAGTAACCACTTGTTCAACTGAGACATTAGAGACTATATGCCACTCGTTCAAATGATCCCATCTTTGCACTTTTCAAACGTATTCAAGTACAGGTGTAACTAGCTTTTTATGTAATGTTTTCCTTTGAATACCTACGTTTCCATGTGATAGTTAGCTTCTTGCCTCTCAAGGTAATAATAAGTACCGGTCCTTTTAATATGAGTCCCTTCAATGCCAGTGCACAACCCTTTCTGCCTTGAAAGACAGACTAAATCTTTTGAGCTATTCAAGGAGCGTGAGGCTAATAAAATAATGTTTTATTGAGAAAGCAGCATAGCCATCTTTTCAAGGTTATGAAAGTCACTGCACAGTCGAACACTGACACCTACAGGTTTCAGTGTGTCCTGCAAACAGATAACATCTATCTGTCTCTCAGAACCTCATGCTATACCACACCTATATACCACTGGAGCTTTAGCATCCTTCTAACTGCATCAGTTACATATTCCAGGATAGCTTTTGTGTTTGTGCAAAAATGCATCTTGAGAAGCTGATTCTAAAGTAAAAATGTGAATATAACACTGGAATTCAATATTTGATACACACACATCATTTGGAAACATTTCAGATCCAATAATGTGATATCAGGCCCAAAAATAGTCACTGAGTACAAGCGTAACAAATCTCTAGACAAAGGAGATTTGAATGGCAATGAGTTCGAACAAACTGATACCATCAGAAAACACATGACCTCATACTCTGGCAGAACAGATACAATGAGGTTGCACAGGTCACCCTTTACACAGTAAACTTCGAGTGACACTAAATACAGCAAAGACAGGAAATGAGGACATATATAAAACTGATGAGGATGACTGATGATGAAACTGATAACTTCCAGGGTGATGGAGCGAACTCGGGTTGCTTTGTTCTTACCAGTGTGGAGACAGCGGAGGTGTACATTGGAGTGTGTCCCGAAGACATCAACACAGGCTGCAAAACAACATCAAAGAAAAGGGTCATCATGCGGAGCAGTGTGCCTTATAGAAAGCAAACGGTACAGAATAGGGCTGTAACATGGCCAAATCAACTATTTGGCCATGTTGGTGTTAGTTGACTAAGAATTTCTTAAGTCGAGGAAAGCCCTAGTACCGTGACGCATACAATCTGTAAAAAAGCAGCTCAAATAAACACTGTATACTGCAGTTTGACAACATATATCAGTGTTATAGATATTGTTCAGGAATGACTGTTTGATGTCCGTATCTGATGATAACACACACTGATACATTGTATACCACAAATACAAAACCATTTCCATTCATAGAAAAAAAAGGGAAAATACAACAATCCACATGCTTAATGACACAGCACCCCCCGAGTCATTGATAACTTATTGATTGGCAAATCAAAACAGCTTATTCAGAATCGGTTAACAATTAAACAGCAGTGGGATCGTTACGCCTGTTAAACTGAATAGATCTTACAGCTCATGCTGCTTCTCTAAACAATGCACCCCGTGCCTATGAATTTTACAAGCAGCAGCAGTGCAGCAATTTCACATGTCAGGAGACGCTCTCCTCCCACTGGAGGAGTTTCACAGCGCTGCAGAGCACGTCAGTAAAGTGTGATTGTCTGCTGATCCAAGTAGGATACCTGGGCGGTGGATTCCTGCTGATCCCGATGTTTACATACGGCACCTTCCCTTCCCAATATAAACATGGCCTTCTTTGAATGGCTCCACTGGACACATTTTTGGACTTAAGTGCCTTGCACAATTGCACATCAGCAGTTGTTTTGAACAGTCGTAAAGAGTATATAACAAGCACTAATTTATTTAATCACACAACCCCCGTGAAGACTTCCCTGGCAGGTGTATAGGCTCCAACTGAAGGAAGGGGTGGTGGAGTGATTTGAGAAAGAAAAGGAGAAGAATACAACTAACAAAAGATGTGAAGTAAAACTTGAAAAAAGGGGATTTATTTAGGCTGGGAGATTCAGCAAGTGACTCGTCATATTATATCACACTCCGTAATAAACAGGGTCACAAAACCAAAACATGGCACTGTGTCAGGAAGCAATACTAGGTCAAGTGGTTACACAAAGTGCAGACAAACCAGCGTCATCATCAGCCTTACTCTCAAAGCAAAACAAAACAATATCTCATTCTCACGTTAGATTGAATAATGTATTACACTTATATTATGCTCCTAACTACCGGCCTGGGGCTCAAACTGTTTCGTCTACAGCCATCCATCAGCCTGGGATAGACACACTTTTATTTATCTTCATGTCTTTTTTATACCTATTTAAGGACGCAGCCCATAAAACGATGCAAACAATTCACTTTGAACTAGCGCTAGCCCGGACTTTTACACTTCACAGTGAATTCACTTCTCCCTGAAGAGAAACACAAGACTTCATAAATAATGTCAGTATTCCAGAAATAGAAACAGGGCCAATCCTCGTTCCCAAGTGTAGGTGTCTTAATAACAATGTTATTACTATTGCTATGCTTCCATTTAAGTTACACTCCCCCACCATTTAACATACTTGCATGTCAATGTTTTATAAGACATATTTGTATTCAACACTAAAGTTTTGATTTAGTTTTATCTGCGGATACCAGAATGTCAGTGTCAGGAGTGATGAGTATGATTTAGGCTCATAAATAGTGACGCTTTACACAAAAGTATAACCTCGAGCGGTTATATCTGATGGGACTAAAGCTGGCCTAGTTTTAAACATTCCTCCAGACAGAAGTGCTTTTGTAGAATAATAAAAGGGACAAGCGAGGAATCAACCATACTTGACTGATCCGTCACTGTCAGATGTTCCAACTTAGTTTCATTTGGCGTATTGATCCGTTTGTGAACGAGTGCTTTAGACTCTAACATTTAGGCTAGTTACATAGTGTTATAAAACATAAAATGACATTCAACAAAAGACCCAGCTGCAACAGAAACAGGGTCGTTTCCAATAAGAAATAACACAGACATAAGTGTTAAGTGGATTAACACTGCGCTGTTTAAAGTCATGTTGGGAACTCTCTGTAATTATTTGACTCATTTTGTAGGCTGAACAAAGGGCTGATTTATCTCCAGGCACATGGTGTCAAGAAACTACATCGAGAACAGGACAGTACACATTACATGATGACGCATGAAACACCCTCAGCCCACTCAACACATTCAGTTCTAAATATATTGTGATAGAATCATGGAATGGTTCTTTTTTCTTCTTCTTTAATTACCCTTTCTTGATAGATGGATACAAGTAAATCAAGACTTGAGAAAGCTCATATGCCCAAGAGAAGCATGCTAAGAACCTGTGAATAAGATGGAGCTAATTGAGGGTATAACCTCACACACTGTACAAACAGAAGTGACTGATGATGAGCAGCTAAAAAAGTGGTGTTACAACATGTTCAGATCTCTGGCTTTGTGGTGTTTCTTTATCAAAGATGGCTCTTACAAACCAGCCATCCGTTGAGGGCGACTGTGGCTGTGAGTACGGTCTCTCAATCTTAAGGTTGTGGGTTTGATCCCAGCCGTCGTACATGTCTGTGTGTCCTTGGGCAAGATACTTATACTTGAGTTGCTCCCAATGGCAGGACCAACGGTGTATGAATGCTTTCTTGAATGTTTGAATGCAGTGTGAATAGGTAAAAGATGACTTGTAAATGTCAAGCGCTTTAAGGAGTTGTAAAGACTGGATAAAGCGCTATATATAAATATAGTCCTTTTAACATTTGCCATCCAACAAAACGCACTTTGTCCCCTGATTTCAATGGTGTCAAGAATGTGATGGTCAAGACTCGTAAGAACTAAAGTATGGTGTAAAAAGAGCCAGTAAAGTAATTGAGCTGTGTGAAGTTGTGACATTTACATCCTGGTGGAGAACTCTCATCCCTTGAGAAAATGATATACACTGATGAAGGTCCTTGTGTAAAGTATTTGCCAGATACTAACAGATTTTGAGGCGTGGGACGTACTTCTTTTAAATATAATGTCATGTTTGAATAAAATAACATGTTCAACAAATCCCATTAAAAGACCCAAACTTATTTGATATGGACAATATTGCTCTGTTGAGTATTGTTAGACTATCACTCGTCACCGGCTTGATCTTCAATATCAAGATACATGTCTTTATTATCCTTGCAAGAATGCAAGTAGTCATCACACACCCCCGGTTGCATGGGACAAAAGAGTAACTTTAGTAGAGTCCTTCACATGCTTATATACAAGAGAGGGTGTTACAGTCAACAAGATGGAAGAATACCGGTTCAAAGCAGTATTCTGACATTAGTTCAGATTAGCTAAGGCCTGCGTAAGCAATACACATGACTGTCATATGTCTATCTCTCGAGTGACTGTGTCATCATGCCAATCTTAAGAACATAGCTATCATAACTTCAACACAGTGTCTCATGAGCGTCATCCATGTAGTCGTACATCCGGCTACGTGCACTGCTACGTAGGGCCTCTGTTATCATGTGCTACTCTGATATAGAAGGAACATTCAGTATTTTCCCAACAAGTATTTATGGCAACAGGAGGTTTATGTGGGATTGACAGTGACTCATATCATGTCACCTGGTGCAAGGACGTAGCTCATTGAGGTGGTTTCAATCATTCAGACACAAATACATGTCTATGTCACTAAGGAATGGGTTACATTACTTACTTGTTAGGGCTAGGATATGGTAGATTCATTGTTGTTGTTGATAACATATATTATATGACCAGCCCTATATTGAAATGAACTCTATCTGGAGACTTATTACAGAGAAGCTTCTTACTTACTTATGGAATTTGTGCAGGACGAATATTACATTTTCTCTCAAACGGACTTAAATGAGCTCATAATGTTAAAATTCAAGGGGAAGAGAAAGTGTCCCTCCCCATCACAGTAATATGAACTGTGAATAATGACTGATCCCTTGGCATGAGCGGGATGATAAACTCCAGTGGGAGAAAGGGGATTATCAAACCAGCAAGAAAGGTCAACAAAGGACAGCTTGATTACCCTTTGAAAAAGCAAAGCACTCCAGGTTTTACACCATTTGACTATTTCTTTATCGTGATGTTTGTGTAAAGAAAAGATAATCCCCACCTTTATGTCGCCAACTAATTACAGTGGCCGTTTGATTCATTCCCGTTTTGACTCGACAAAGCAGCGAAGGGTCAAAGACACACAGAGACAAACAAAACCCCCACAACCAAATGAAAGCCAGAGCTTGTTTGTCTCTGTGTTATTTGTTGTTTACTGTTCATTGAACAATCCCAATTAGAAAGTCAGCAGCCAGGTCATTCTGTTCTGTTCAAGCTGCACTTGTTTAGATCCTTTAAAACATGTTCAAATAAACAGAGAGCAGTGATAAAAGGACATGGAGATGGACTCAGATGTTAACTTAAAGTGGACCTATCATGCTATATTATAATAATATAGTGTAGGACCATACCTATATAAGGCATATTTATACTTTTTTTTTTTCAAAATACCAAACAGATCATGCATTTTAGCCATGCCTCATTTCGCTCAATTTGCACTATTTTACCCCTGTTTTTGCAAGGGCTGATTCTGTGAGAACAGCACCACCTACAGGTCTGGCATATGTACTACAGCGTCTCCAGCGCTTTCGAACGGCAATGGCCGTGGCTGTCTCCTCCTGATTGGTGGAGTTGGCCCAATAGCCGTAGCGCCACCATCCTGACGTCAGGACAGTGTTCAAATCTGGATCAGTTTTTATCAGATCCGTTGCAGCCCCTTTTTTAGAGATTTGGGTATGGAGGAAAATAGAGAGGGTTGTGTTTTCTGACACTTGGTGAGTTCCCTGGAACACCGGGGACACATATTCATGTATAAAAGACGTACTAAAGTGCATTTTGCATGATAGGTCCCCTTTAAACTTTTGCTAATTACTGACACACAGTGGGTTTCCTCCTGTCTTATATTATACTCCTGTATTTTATTAATTACTTGTATGATACGATGCTTCGAAGCACATTTAATCATCTGTCTATTAGAGAGTAGGTTGTGCGCACACGTTTTTATATTAATATCATGTTATGTGAATAATCCAGCACCTCTTGAATAATGTATCTTTCTTTCTGTTCTCTCTTTCCCTCCACATTCCCACACACAAATGAGCGTCATTAGTTTTCCTAAAAAGAGGTTAAACACACTATAAAACATTTAGAGATCAATTTGACTGACTGTATTACATTGTTTTCTAATTTGAATATAGATATATAGAATATTGTTGACTTAAATGATTTTCGCCGCACTCATTGTGTCATGATGATCTGTTTGTGAAAGCCTCTGCTATGCCATTACTTCTCAATTTGACCGTGTGCAAGGAGAGATCTGCGTGTCCTCGACAGCTCAGGCTGATCGAGCTCTGTGTGTTAGCAGCGGTGAAGCCCAATAACTCAGCCTCTCCTCCCTGCTCATTAAAAGAGAGCATTTTAACGGACACATCCGCTCCCCAGGGACATCAGTGCACTCCGTGTGGGAGATGGAGAAACACTTTCCCCCTCAGAGCAAATAAATACAGGATCTCTTAAGCCCTAATAGCCAGTGCTGCTGTTAAATAACATGTGTGGGCTTATGAGATGGATCGTTATTAAGTGAGCATTACAGCTTACACCTGCTTGCCTTTGTAGCTACAATATGTTTTCATTAATGCACTCCCTGCAACAAGACTCCGCTCGTATTCCCACTGCTGTCAGCTGTATCTTCTGACTGCTGTGTGGCAATGTTTCTGAGTCATGGAGCTCTCATAGACCTTTCTTCCTCTGCATTAGCCTTTGCATTTATGAGCTATGTGTTTCAAAGTAGTTCAGTGTCTGTACTGCGAGCTACTTCAAACATTTGTATTTATTTATGAAGTTCTGGATAACTTTGTTCATGCTTCAAAAGCGGTGTCACTTCCTGCCACAGCATCACAGATGTAAGCCTATACCTTCATTTGACGACTATATTGTGCCAATAAACACATTTGTTTTTGTTAAAAATAACTTGTGTTTTTAGAAAAGTCCCCTTAAATTGTTGATTGAGTGAAAAACAAGTCGAAACATGTTAAGAGTGGAGTATACCTGTTGATTTTGTAGTACGTGGATATAGAAAAAACATAAAGAAATACTATACTGTTTTAAATGTGCATTATCATATCGTCCACCCTTAATCTCATTAGATTTATAAACATCTATTTTTTAAATCAAGCTATACTGCATGCATCAATCCGTTCTGTAATGTTTCTTAACAAGAACCAACTATAATAGGATATCTTTTGTATCAATTTTCGTCTACAAAAAAAAGATTGGATGTCAAAATCTGATTAACTTCATATTATAATCTATCAGGATAAGTTGATCTCTGACTGCATAGTGAAGTGGAGGTGATCTGATTACTGAATGCATCTGGAGTCCACTCAAGATCTTTACGCTGTTAAGCTCTGATATCACATTACCCTACATGTAAGTCATACAGGTGTAAAGATGATCTGTCACTAAAAGGTGCCAGGAGGCCACATTTCCTCATAATTACATTATATTCCCATTACAGTATTTATATTGCAGAATTACATTTTCAAAACAGACATGACATGGTTTTAAGTGCAGCGTTATAATAGATAATGTGTTGTTAGCGCGCCAGCTAACGGGAACTCCTAATACAAATGTAACCAGCTTTGAGTTGTTATGTCTCTGAAGCTCATTATAATGAGAGGAACCACATCACAATAACTATACATTTGTGTTCATAGCAAACTGATAATGCATTATAGGTAGTTCAGAGTATCCTTTTCTGTCTCATTTGGCTTTAATTTGAAATGCCATCACCCTTTACCAATACAATTTTGCACATTTTAGAACTGTCATGTATGCATAAGTGTTAGGAAATATCTACATCATACATTTCAACATTTACTAGAAAAAAGGGAACCACCGGATGCCCCAGTTCTGATCGTGTGTGTCCTACCTTGACAGGAGAGATGTGTGTGTGCGGTGTGTATCCATGTATGGCCTCCATGGCAGCGAGGTTCTTGTCACTCATGTGAAGCATCTCGGCACTTTTCCCTGGAGCCAGATGTGCTGGACTGTGCTCCAAGGGGGGCGTCTCCTCATCCTGGTACCTGTACTTCTGCAGATACAAAACACAGATACACAAAAAGCTGTTAATGTGGGAACTAGACGCTATTTGTTTATTTATTTAAAAACGTGAATGGCTGAGAGTATTTCAATCATAAACAGAATCCAATGTCGGCATCATTATTTTTTACATTTTGTCGATGCTATCCTCAAGGTTCAAGGCTTTTATTGGTCATACTAGCTACAGTGTAGTTATGACGATGAAAATCTTGAAAAGGCTCCTCCAACAGTGCAACACAATAAAATCCTTAACAAATTGTGATCAAACTCCCTTCACGGAGATGTATTTCCATACCAGTGTCATCTTAAGCAAAATGTGGGCAAATCTGACTTATCACATAGCATGTGGGCCGCCCACACATGCAAAGTCAAGGCATCATAGAGGCTTAGAAATATTGCCATTGTGCGTTTAGCAAAGTGATCTTCCTCCACAACCACATGGAGCAGACCGTGACTCATAGTGGCTCCACTTTAGCAGAACATGCCTCTCTTCCTCGTAGCTTCACTCCCCACCGATAGCCCACACCTGGGCGGCCTGCCAGCAGCCCACTGTGTTAGCCACACATGGTAGGCTTCATTCTAGGTGTGATGACACAATATCTGCACACAGCGTTTTCCATCAGAAACACATCAGAAGGTGGGGAGCATCACAGTGGAGATCGGCCACACTGTCCTGTGGGTTAGAGCCTGTGTTGCTGCCACAAATCCCCCTGAAGCCCCCAGGCTCACATTGTGCTCTGCTGCACTGCAGATGTGAAGCAACTCATTCTGAAACATTTGTGGAGATCATCTGAATGTTGGCTGATGGCCTAGTGGCCAGCTCTGCTACTCTCCCCTTTCTTTCTTTCTTTTTTTTTTTTGTGGAGGCAGACGAAGAGGGAGGTGCATCACCGAGCCCCGTCTCAGACAGGCTGCCTAGCAACCAGAGCAGAGCAGAGATTGCAGAGCCACAGTCGGGGCTGCCAGCATCGGTCCTGGATCACATTACACTGAGACAGCAAGAAAGAGAGGGAGTGAAATAGAGATGAAGATAAAGGAGAAATGAGGGGGATGGGTACAAATGAAAAAAGTCTACAAAAAACAGCAACAATGGCTGGGTGAGGGGGGGGGGACCAGAGAGAAAGTGGATGATTACTGAAAGCACCGTTCCATAATTACAGGTTGATAAGCAGAAAAGGATCGATTTACATGTTTTATTTTCAAGCAGTGCTGCTGAGGCGTTAATGTAAACAGATTACATATTATGTAAGCATACCAATTATACCACCAACTGTGTAGTGTAATACAGAACTGAACTGGGTGATTAGCTAATCTCCATCCTCTCTATATCATTAAACTCTTTAAAGTAAGATTTGTATCCAATAACAGAAAACATGATCTTAAAACTCTGAAAGACTGTAAATGACATGAATCACAGTTCAGAGCAGCCCTGAGCTCTGCTGTGCCTCCCCCTCTCCTGCATGACCAACGTTCATGCTGCCATGTTGCCTTCTGTCCCACTGGTGGGGGATGTGACCGTCAGAGCTTCTATGTTACACAGTGTCCTTCTGGAGAGGGCTCTAGGTGCATTTCCTCTCACCACTGAATTCTAATATTGTTGCCCATTGAAGCACAATAGCACAACATCGTACATTTATAAAATACAAACAATGTGTCAGAGATGTATTTTATGATGAATCCTAGTTTGACTAACAGTTTTGTACAAGGAGGAGATGAATAATGACAAATAACAATACAATGGATGAATGGGAAGATAAAGGAGAGCTTTTCCAAACGTTAATGAAAGGTCAATTCTGGTCCGTCAATTACGGGATACTTCATTCCTGGGAATTATCAGTTTTCCAGCTAGTTTATTACTCATTATTCTCACCTTGTGTTATACAAATCAATAAGACTCGATTATTAGCGATGGATTATTATCAGGCACAAACTCAGCTAGATCCAGTTTGCTGACAATGGCTCCTATCTATTCAATCCAGTTCTATGTTTGTATACCGTGACTACCTGAACTACACCTTACCCTCTCATGAGTGCAGCAGCTGTTATTATTTTTCCCAACCATACATTCTTCACACAAATTCTTCAAGTTTATCTTTCCTTTTAAAAGTCTCTGAAAGTGTCGGTTGTTTCAGTGCCGTTACCTGAGTGGCCGCTGTGTACTCGTCGTGTTGTTGTTGGTGTTTGTATTAGATTGGTCGTGTTGAACGTAGCTCTGTTCTTTCCACCACGCGGAACCTCCGCGTTGCAAACATTACATCTGGCTGTTACACTGCCTTCGCTTTCAATTTTATAATACTTCCAAACTCCTGACATTTTCTCTGTCCCGTCTCCCGAGTCACCAGCTGAACGTAGCCTCTTGTTAGCTTACTGCTACTATTAGACACTGCGCCCTGCGCTCTGTTGCCAGATTTGAGAGAAATAAGCAACCAGGTCTATGAAAACAAGCCCAAAAGAAGCAACACATACATGATGTTGTGTAATTTTAAACCAAAACTAAGGCCTCAGGATGACTTGAAGACGTGAACATGGTCATTTTTGTTTTGTAACATTAAAAAAATTATATAAAAAAAAAAAAAAAAAAATCCCGATCCCCGATTTTTTTCTCCCGATTCCGATCTTTTGAAAATCACGTGATCGGCTCCGATCCCCGATCACGTGATCGGATCGGGACATCTCTAATTATTGCAAATAGAAGTGTTGTTTTATTATAACTGGATGAAAGCCTTAACTGTAATGAGAGTGTATTAAGAAACTATTGAAAAAGGCAAATCCTAAAAAATAGGATACATTTAAACATGTGACAAGATGGGCAAAAAAGTTGGCATTACATCGTTTTCTTATGTTATAAAAATAATATCCAATAGTATACACTCCCACTGCGGTCCACAGATTCTATTGGTATAAGTTTCATCACTGTGCGATCAAACCTCACTCTTAACCCTGTGTTCTAGTATGATAAATAAAAGAACATTGTATCTTGAAAATCAATGCATTCTAATAGCGGGTACATTTTACCCGTTGGCGGTTTTAGGTATACAGCGACCCCTGGCGGTTCTAGTGTTAATAAAGTAAATTTGATCAAAAATGTTTGATTCTTTCCTCTCAAGCAGGGGCTTTAACAACTTGCAGCAATTACATTCTGCTTTGAACTGTACACAAAGTACCTTTAAAGTACCACTGCAACAGAATACCTCTGGGTCTCCTGCCTTTATTGTATCAGTATATCATAGTGGAAAGAATCCAGTACATCTGTAAGGGGTGTAGTGAAGGTCAATGAAGAGCGGCTCTGCAGTGTGCATTTGTTTTCCCTCCTGTACTTTAATACTTAAGGCACACAGTGGCTGAATAAGCTCTTCTATTAATGTTAAATTAGTTTACTTAATATAGAGCAAATGTCAAACTCTATCTATATCATCTCAGTTTGCAATCCAAGGACCGTGCTTGAGCTTTTAAATGACGTTGCATTAAGTCATGGATTGAAAGATACCCTCATCTCTCAGGCTTATCATTTGTAAGAAGCTGCACATGCTTCAGAAGTGTAAAGTGTTTCAGGGACCATGAGAGGCTCTTCAGGTGTACATTAAAGGTGGCAACTCCCCACTGCATCTTCACAGAATTCAAGCTTTTGAGAGTACATCTATTTGCATTTTCTTTAATTCTCTGCTTTGATGAACTCTGAGGGATTTTGTGCGCAGTGCTAAGTCTCAGTGAGGCTCCACAGCGCTGTCAGAAGGAACTATAAGCTGGAGTTTAGTTGTGTGCAGTACAATACTTCTCACTGGAGTACATCTAGACAGGTATATGTGCTTGGATTAAACCATATAAGTTATATAAAGAGTGATATATTTAAATGTAACACAGAGCCTAGTCAAGGTTCTCCTCTTTCGGTCTAACTCCAGGAGTGTATTTCAATGATAACCCAGAATACACAGACACATACAGAACTGAAACAACATGTTTTTGTATTTGTTTTGATTAATTTGTAATGTTTTTAAATCTCTAGTTTAAGATCTTTATCCGTAGATTGAAATATAACTACCCTCCCTACATGTGAAGTATATTAAGTAGGTCAGAACACCTGCAGGTATAGCAGAGCAAACCCACTGGCACCTATGAAACAGTTAAGCCGAAGACATTTTAATATCAGACTGATGATATGCGAGTACATTTACACATTAGCTCCTCTAAATCATTTCTCATTGTCATTTTGACTAAACTTTCTCTTTCCCTGTACATCCCATCATAATCCAGTAATTGTTCCAGCCTTCTCATTTGATTTTCACTCTCAAGTGTCTTCTCAAGTGCCAAACCCCAAACACAGTTTTCATCTCATTTGCATTATCACAATTTCTGTTGCCAGTACACACCTACCAGTAGAACAGTTTTTTGGTTCATACACGTACGCCTCAGAAGAGGAATTCACTCACATTCTGCCAGTGCTAAGTTCAGACTAGTCTCCAAGGTGTTTCAGCACAACACTTTGACAAGTGTTAGTATCCTGTAGCTATGTATGCTGCAACAACAACACACTCTACATCCACCACGGCCCGGGGCAGAGCGCTTACAGCTGCAGCAGCAAGGATGTTCATGTTCCCATCCCCATCCAACCTAAATCAAATGGAAGAGCTTCTCATCCTCCCCATGGAAATGCTCTAGAGCAGGGGTGTCAAACTCAAGGCCCGGGGGCCAAATCCGGCCCGCGACTTCATTTCATGTGGCCCGCAAGAGCTCTGAAAGAATATAATACGTTTATTATACGGTTACATGCCACTTTACAGAAGTACGTTGCCCATAAACTACATGTCCCACAATGCATCTCGTTTTGTGACATGCGCACTGAAGAGACTTGCAATTATTTGCCCTGGACTTCTACTTTCAGACGTAGTTAATTACGAAGTTATTACCCTATCCGATAATAATCCAATTCAGAGGCAATAATATAATATATACATTATTTGATATATATATATTATATATTTATATATGTATAAA